TTCAACCGCGAGCGCTATGCCGGCGTGATTATTACCATATCATGGCCGTTCAACAGTAACCGCTGCCACGCTTAGAATTTTCCAATATTTACACAGCGGAATATTCAACATTTTCCAGCATGCCGCTAGAAAACTTGAATAACCGATACTTGTTTTGTTGCTAGGATACGTTTAATATATTTGCCTTTAATAAACGCGTGCACGCGCGCCCTCGCGCAGGCTGGCCGATTTTCGTTTAATGACGCTTTGTTTTGCGAATTAGCAACACGACATACATTGTCGTGTGATATCACAAACGGTAAATCTCCCCCTCACGCTGCGTACACGATGGTATATCACTTGCCTCGAAGAGGAAGCAAACGAAATTTTTTATTTCGTTTGTTTTATGCGTTTCGCATTGGAAAAAAAGCTTTAATTACGTTATCCGTAAATGATTGGAATTCGTTTTTTTTGGCAGCGCGTGAATAACATCCATAATTCACGTACGAACGTAAAAATTTCATTTGAGCGCGTTGATTATAGAGAATTTAAATTCATTTACCAAATTATTCCTTTTCCGATATTACTATCAATCGACAAAATATTTCGCAGCTTCAAACGACGTATAACAAAATCTTTATTTCTTATTTGAATTGTAACGGATTTCATTTTAATTGCTGTATCAAGCGAAAGTAGGTGTTACATTATCCTTAATCGTTTAACGCCGTTAAATTAGACGAAGGCACCGATGCTCGGCTCTTAAGCCACATCGACAATTTCGCGCGATACTCCTTCGGGATCGTAGTCGGAGCGACGCGTCGAATACAGTTCCCTCTCCTGGATAAGTTATTATATCGGAAAATCGCTTGGCCGCGCTCGTATCTTGTTAAAATATTTGAGCACCTTCGAGCTGCACGAACGTAAATACGAATCACTGTCTTTTCGTTTTTCTTCGTAAGCCATCAGTTGTGGAGTTACGAGTAATTACGCGCCGCTTTGCATGGTACACATCGCGTCGGCGGGGGGAAAAAAGCATAATTTTATTCATATCACAACGTTGCGCACGTCTAAAGACCATCTCTTTAGGCGCAAAAATATTCAAGCGATGTATCGCATGTAAGAGGCGCTCGTACATACTATAAAACTCGTAATGCAGTTTTAATTTCTGACTGTGTTGTATAGTCGGGGATGTGTGTAACATTACGCGTCGCATGTTCATGCCGCGCCACTCTCCATCCGCTTTTACCCTTTCTAAACGTTTTACAAACTCTAATCGCAAAAGCAATGCCAGTAAGTAAAATTAACTCGTGCATTTGGAAAGTCGTAGCGTAATGTTAAATAATGCCCGCGTAAAGCGTACGAAATATTTTTGAGATACTATTTGCGGCTTTGCGCTGTACTGATATTAACGCGCGCGGATTCGTGTGTATACGTGTGTAATCTAATTATTTAAAAGCACTCGCGGTAACGCGGGGACACGATTCTGTACCATCCAATTAGTCAAATAAATAGAATTACGTCAACTAGTGCCGTCACAGGAAGCGGTACTTGACAATAATTAAGAGTACCGCTAAATCTTGTTAACCCGATACAGGATATGCTTTGGTATCGCGAGGGGTATCGCGTAAATAATCATCCGCTCTGAAAATATATCGGAGGCATACACCGAGATCTCGCCCGGCACCGCCGTCGCTTCGACGTATTCATCGCGCGGCGTTCTCCATCGTCGCTCACATCCGGCGACGATTGCACGGGCGCACGCGAACGGAAGAGAAATCGAAGGAGAAAGGATGAGCGATCGTCCGGGAGCCACGATACGGTGCGCCCTCGAGGCGAACTTGCCCGAGTCATTTTTCACCGCGAGTCCGAGTCGCGAGGGCGGCCGTGCCTCTCGGGGAGATATTTCGCGAAATTAAAGAACTACCCGCGGATACACCTTCTGTACTCGCCGCAACTAAAAGAGATGAGGCGAGCGAGCTAGCGAGCGAGCAAGCGAACGAGAGAGAGAGAGAGAGAGGGGGGAGGGGAGGGTGGCGCAACGAGTGGTTGACAGGGAGAGAGAAAGGGTGAGGACGCTAAGGAAAGAGTCCGAGTAAAAAAAGGGGTAGGTATACACACAGGTATCGTGTCGTGCAACCGACTGACGTAAACGAAAATAAAGAGTTGCCGCCGAGTTCTGATTTCCTCTAGCCCCTTTCAACTGGCAAACCGGTTGGTTATGGCACGTCCAAGGCAGGAAACACAACGGTGGCCGAAACGAAAAGAAGAAGAAGAAGTAAAAAGAAGAAGCGTGTACACACGGAGCGGCGTTCCGCGCCGTTGTTGGCGGTTGTTGCAGCGACGGGGGTGGATGCGAGGAAAAGGAGAATGGAAGGAACGGGGAGGATTCCGCGGCGTTTATTCAGACGCGCCAGCGCGCGAGCGCCAGCCGAGACGCGCGCGCGGCGAGATTACACCGCGACAGGCGCAATTATATCGTTACCGCGAAACGGATCGTTTGTAAAAGCGAAACCCGCCGCGTTCGCGGCGGCTGCATTTCGGTCATACGCGGAGCTTGAGTAATTGCAGCCGACGGCGGCTCAGCGGGCGGGGGTGAAGGAGAGGGACGATGCGCTTCCATTACGCGCGCTCATAGAGCTCGTCATGCGTACGTAATAGGCGCATATGCACCACCGATACCACCGGATACTCTCTCGGAGAGAGAAGGAAAAAGAAAACGGAGCGCGGTATATATTCACGTAGGCGCGCCCGCGCTGCACACGTCTCTCCTATCAACCCCGAGAGCTCTCGCACCCCCTCGCCTTGAGTACACAATTTACAACCGTTCTGCCCCGCACTCCCCCTCAACGTCCGCGGTTCACCGCCGCTTTCTTCGCTCGCTCGCTCGCTCGCCCCGGTACCCACCCCGGCGCCTTCTTTTCCGGGCTTCTTTCTCGACGGACGTAACCACCGCTTTTCCGCTCTCGTCCTCGAGTCGCTCTCTGGAAAACGTTCTTCCTTTTACTCGTACCTCGTCATTCCCCGTGACTAGAGCACCTATGCCTGTCCGGCGCACACCGGGGCCACGTGGCGGATGTGCGTTGTACGCGACACACATCGCCCACGGGCCGAGTGGATGCGGAGGAGCATAGAGATGTTGCCGCGCGTGCTCTAAAACGTCGAGTGTGTCACGACTTTGGCGTAACAGCGACTTCTTTGTTACATTTTCTTTTTCTTTTCAACTCTTTTTTTGCCTTATTTCTCTCTCTCTCTCTCTCTCCCTCTCCCTCTCTCTCTTTCTGCACCCCGCTTTCTTTATGTTACGAGCATAGTTGGTAAGCTTCGAGTACATTGTCGGTAGCACTTGGGCGATGAGACGCGTTGACAGCTTCCGCAATGAGGATGGGAAAGACGATGGTTGAGAGGGCGATCGGGGGTAGAAAGGAGGGGACGTGGCGCACGGAAAACGGAAGACTTGCAGCGGACATCCATAAGTAAAACCGCGTGCGACATCATCCTAGAGGGATTATTGTTTCTTTTTTTCCTACGATGAATAAGTACGGGGAGTAAGAATGCTATTTATTTTTTTAATGAGACATCCCGGCCGGGTCACGATGCGACCTTACAAAGCCATAGACGTGTTTCATGGCGCATTTGCCGTATTTCGCGAATATTGGATCAGATAAAAGGATTGTGCGCGCTTTTGTAGGAAATGGTACGAGACAGGTAAAGCGGTAACTAGGTCGCACACATTATTATTCCCGTTGATTTGGTTTCTCAGCATGATAGCTTTACAGCTTGACAGTTGCAGCTTTGACATATTCGTGAATGTCATTAGGCGAGAAATTTAACACGTTTTAATCGCGAAACCCAATTGCGGAAACATGTCGCTATAATTCGACTTGCACTGCTCAGACATGGTTTCATTATTATCTTATTTTAGTCGTAGCTTCAATTGTATTTTTATATAACTCAAATAATATTATAATATTAAATAATATTGTAAAGATAAAATTAAATTTAAAAATATACGAATAAAACTCGAATTACTTATGACGACAAAAATATGTTTCTTTATTATATTGAGATTGAAAGATACAAAGACAATTGTAATGAAGTTTCATATGTTTGAAATTTTATCATCTACTTAACAAAACTACTAGATATGAAATTATAGTATAAATATTTCTCTTTTGTCCCTTTTCTGCAATTGCTTCATCCCTTTTTACTAATTGCTGATTATCAGGTTTAATAGAGTTAGTTGAGAATTTTTCTTCAAATGCAATTCTTTTCTCACCGGACGAAACGTGTAATGTAAATCTGCTTTACAACGCGATATGATAAAATATTAACTCCGCTAACGCAACCTGCAACAGGCTAAAGTGGTACAAAGTACCTACCCAGCGTCTGTTATCACTCTGAATATGATAGTGCTACGGGAAAGCTGGATATGGAATGTGCATCTCGAAAATTTAATTCCATATGCGTATACTAAAATGCGTGTCACAAAATGATTAGCAAATGTATGATTATTTTTATTTTTAATGAAAGAAATCGCTTCGTTCAATTTTAAGCGATACTTTCTCAATTATTTCTGTGACATCGATAGCGACTAACGACATTATATCTAAAACATGGAAGATATATTTTGAGAAGGAAAGTGCTTTTAGACGTTTAAAAACGATTTTTTAAATGTTGGTGTATTTATTATTGGTAGACGTAAATTAAAATAGCAATTCTAGATATTATAAAATAACATTCCTATGTTAGTTTTTTCGATATTTTTCTTAATTTATCTTTTGCAATTATTTGTCTGTCAACACAGATTAATTTATCTATAACTATGAACAATACGTAACTATCGTTATGTCGCACTTTTAACATTGATTATAATTAAATTGAAAGGTTCCCTATGTTATATATTGCCAAAAAAACGCGATATATAAACAAGATATTTGGATTGGTATATATGAGTACAGTGCTGTATACGAAATTTTATTTGAATGAATTATTTAACTGACCCATTACGATTTGTGTTGCAGGTAGCGTGGCTACGAGTCGATACGCAGACGATTCTGACGATAGCAAGTCACGTTATTACGAAGAATCATCGGATCGCTGTGACACATATTGGCCATCGTTTGTGGTCTTTGCACATAAAAGACACACGCCAGACCGACAGCGGTTGGTACATGTGCCAGGTTAATACTGACCCGATGTCCAGCATCACTGGATTTCTCGAAGTCGTTGGTAAAGATTTTCTAAGTCTCCTTAAAAGAATTTGCCTCTTTTTACTCTATTATATTCACACTTGAATGACGAATGAGCGTTTCATTTGCTAATGTATAGGCAGAGGAATTAATACTATGAGCAAGGAAATAATTTTAATACACATATAAAATTTGTATAACCCCAATGCAAAAGGAAACAATAGCTATAAATGTCTTTAATATCCAAGCAATCTGTCGATAAATACAGCATCTTTTCTTGGGTCAGAAAAAATTATCTCTTTAATGAATTAAAAAGTTTTATTATACAATTTATCTAGTGTTTTATAAAACATAATTATAATAATATATTACACTTGCGAAGGAAAAAGGAGAGGAGTAAAATTACGGCAAGAATAAACACTAATCCATAATGTGAACTTAAATAAATTATGTTGCTACTAAAATTGTATTAATAAAGTTGGTAATTAAAAATTATGAAATGTTGATTCGAAAATTGTTAACTATTTAAATAATATTTGAATAATATTTAACACGATAAATTACTATTAGCTATTAATAAAGTATTTAAAAAATTTAGCAAAGGTGAGAAAGAAAGGGGAAGATTTTTTGTTGAAAAAATATATAATTCTATATATAATATTTCTCAGTGCGAACATATAAAATTTGCTGCGTGTGCAAAAATTATATAAATTAAATTGAATTACACAATATAAATTTTTATTTGCATTGCCAAACCCAACCATTTTATTGTCATATTAAACAAATGACAAATCATTATTATTGCAAGTTTTGTCGAGCGTAACGCTTCCATATCCGTCGCCGAGAACGTCGTGTGTCACGTACACTGAATGAATATCATGCGCAGCTTTATTATGGTCTGTTCGAAAAATTACAAATAATTTTCACTCTACACTCAATATAAATTAACATGTCACACCTGACACACCCGGCGATGCAACTTGTGCAATCTCAGTGATGAGTGGCAATGAGACGCGAAATATGCTTTGACTGTACGAACTCTACGTAGTATGTTCGCTTGTTTTATTTTAAATAAATGATAAAATTTTATTGCCAATATTTTGAACACATATTTGTATATGACTCAAACGCATTATTATGATACATGAAAAAGCGTTACAAAAATATTCGTCACATATTTTATATTGTATTAGTAGTTTTGCTTTCATTTTTTTATTTATAAAATTGATAAAATTTGAATTATTAATTGTGGAATTATTGCACAAATCATTAGTGTGGAAAATTTAATGTTAATTAAGGAAGGTGCGACTTCAAATCATCAGTTTTGATAACCATATATTAGTTTTGCTTCTTTATAGAGAAAGCTTTGTTTTCGTGAAAATGTGTTTCTCCAGTTTTCTTGCAATTGTGTTTAGAATGTTCCTTAATTTCTAAAAACTACATTGGTTTTTTTTATCGAGAAAGTTCTGTTTCCTTGAAACAAATCAAATTTTTCCTGATATTGTGTTTAGAATGTTTCCAAATATCGAAAAATCTACTTTCAAAAAAGTTGTCAGTATGTATAATCAGTAAACAAAAAAAGGTACTATGTACCTTCTTCTAGCTTCCTCCATGAGGAAGCCATGTGCAAATTTCTCTCTCTCAATATGTAATAAAATATACAGACAATCAAATTTTATTGAGAACAGTATGCTACAAATTTTGTCGACCGAGTTTAATACAAAATCTGGCACATTTAATTATATCAAAATGCTAATGAAAATGAAGCATGCCTTTAAAATATGATAATTAATGATAAAAATCAAATTTTAATAAACTTACTATACAGTCTAATATAGTTTGTTAGTCAATTTTTCTATTCAGCAGTTATACGTGTAATTTATATTTCAGAATTTTAATTTTTATTCCATTGCCGTGTGTAAGTTTCATGATAAGGGCATACATATTCAGTGTAGACATCTGCGGGATGCAAAACGAAGAAGATTGGTTTTTGGTTCGTGTCGCTACGTCGATTTTTCGCCCAGTTATAGCGTTTTAAAAATCGTGCGCGCGCGCACCATTCATGAAAGAAGGCCGCGCAAATTTTACGCGAATAGTACACGTGCTTACTACGTCCCCAAAAAACTGGCATTTAAACATACGAGGCACACGGCGTTCGGTAGTAAACATCGCCACGCGAGACGCCTATGCGTCGTCTGCTGCTTCTGTCTTAAGATTAAGATCGCGAGTCGATATAATCGTCAGTATCTTCGCACAGAAAAATCGTAGCAAGATGATCCTGGTTTCGTTGGAAAGCTAAGATTTCAGCGCTTCTAACGATATAAGAATCGCTTATCTCGGATCATTAGTTTACGAGATTTCATTAATTAATTACTAAAATAAAATTGATTTTGTCCCGAGATCGAGATCGCTAGTCGATATAATCGTCATTATCTCCGCACTGAAAAATCGTAGCAAGATGATCCTGGTCTCGTTGGAAAGCTAAGATTTCAGCGCTTCTAACGATATAAGAATCACTTATCTCGAATCATTAGTTTACGAGATTTTATTAATTAATTAATTACAAAAATAAAATTGATTTTGTCCCGAGATCGAGATTGTGAACTAATTTACGTTTTTATTAATTTTATCTGTTAATTTGTTTAATTACGTTTTTATTAATAATTTTATTAATAGTTTGTTTAATTACGTTTTTATTAATTTGAGTTAGACTTAATTACAAAGCCAACTTACACCATGATATAATATATATTAATTTACCCCACTATCGGGGTAAGCTGGCTACAATGTAGCGTGTTCGTATTTTATTTATTACGAAGGAACTATATAATATACAGAATTATTTTTGGCATGAAAATGTAGAGAAGGATTCTATCCATCAGATTAGTACAGTTTAATTTGTCTGTTAATTTAATCATAATAATTAGTTGTTTAAACAGTTATATGCCAAAATTGTGAAAACTATGCTAACGAGCCCCGGTCTGCCCTACCTATGTTTAGATTGAATGACTTCAGTACTCAATCGGTTCACACTTATATGTATATAAATTACGTAAATAGTTTGAGTTCCTATAAAATAAGATTGTACCGTGGTTAATAATTTCCCAGCTCAGGTTTAATGACATAAAGAATATTGTCTATAAAGTCCTCTCCTCTTTAACATCGTTCTGTTTTACTATTTTATAATGATCCGTTTTCATGTAACTACAGGAATGCATAGTTTTAAGTTAGTTATTGGAATAGTTACATTTGTTGTATTTACATTTACATAAACATTAGATATGTTTTCAATTATAATGGTATAAAACATGAAATGTAATAACGGTAAAAACACATGAAAATTTCCCCGTTTTTAAATAATTAATTGTGTATGTATTAAAATCAAAATAAGACTGTCATATATATATTTTTTTAATGTATACATAATTTAAAACTGGCCTTAAACTTATTACGCGCAATTTCCAGTTTTCATGACGCCTAAGAGGCGGAAAATTGAGTGGGGAATGAGAATCTCGGAATGATTTAAGGACCGCTGCCGACAAATATTTGCGAGCAAATCGTACGTTCGAGATTGCTCGTGAATTTGTAACCTGTGCCATCCAGAAAGTCCGGGATCCTTGACTAGTCCTTGCGAAACTCGACTAAGCACGGGCGGATTCAGCGTTTTCCATGTATACGTAACTCGCGATTGTCCCGCGGAACACGTCCTTTGCTGGCAGGGCGCATCCTTCTTCCCGTGACTATGCATCAACTGATCCTTCCTCGGAACTTTCTTGGCACTTGGTACCACCGTCCCTGTTACCGCCAACTTGTCAAACTTCGCCAACTACGGTCGTCTTAGCGGACACCGTAGTACCTCTAGAGAAAGCCGTGATTGCTACTACACGACACCGATATTCAATCCTTGATTATTTGTTTCGCGGCTTTCTCTACACCACGTACAACATAATAATGTCCGCCTATTAGCCAGATTATCGGGTTAATTAATCAATTTTTTCACAGCAAAACGCATTTTTTTTTCTTTCGCAAAGAAACATGAAAGTATGACTTGGCAATCGAATTAATATGAATATAATATTTTGACTACATTATGCATACATAATAACTTTGTATTTTTATTTTTTAGTTAGTTAATAATTAATTATATCATTTTTCTTAAATAACATGCTTTTTAATAAAATACTATAATAATTAATCGCTAGATAAAATAAAGGCTAACGAAACAGCGAAATTATCAGTGTTATATTTAATATATTGAGATTTTTATATGAAACATTTTTACACACTTGAAGCTCCCAAAATTTTTCCATTATTTCGCTTAATAGCTGGCTCGTTATTTTTATTAAATCGGGTACGTGGCTTATCTTATTTTTGTTAAATTAATGAAAGTATACCACCCTGCTATTAATTATCGGTTAGCTTGACGAAGGTCTGACACAATTCTTGACTTCCAGAGATCATTGGTCGACTCTATCGCGCTCTGGCGCAATAGCATTCGAGAGATGAATATCGGGCTGCCGGAAATTACCAAATAAATGCTGGCATTCTATACTCTTGCGGAAAGCTAATGCATCTCCATAAATACCTCAGCTAAGCTTACTGATTTATATCTCTTAACAAGCTTGCAGATAGTATCCCATTGATACATTGCAAAGCTCACGTTAAGTAAGACGAGCGAACGTTCATGAACGGTTGTACAGCTGAGTATCCATTTTAAAGAAAAACCCTTTAATTCGTCTTTGATAAATAAAAAACCAATAATAAAACAGTACAATGCAAATTCACGTACTAAGAAATTAATGTGGTAGATGTTACTATCAATCAATTTTGATATCGATCGCGGTTTATCTCGGACATCTCCCTATACACGCGTACACATGCAAGTACGTTAGACGCTATTATTGTGTGCTAGTAAACATACAACAACATTTAAATAAAGATTCGATAATTTAAAATAACTTTTAATAATAGAAATCTTGGAATTAAAAAATTAATTTAAACTATAGCGGACAGTGTTACAATTAAAACATTTATGCTATT